AAACTGCTTCCTCGTGGCGGGGGTCATCTGTTACCATGCTTACTTCCTCACTTAGAGCTGCCTGGGAAGGAAGCCGCTCGGTGTACATTCCTGTGATGGAAACACCAGCGTCCTCACAGAACTGTCACTGTCCCTGTCACAATCAAGGCTGCCTTGAACATAACACATTAAATATCATAGTTTGATTTTTATTTCCTTCTCTGCCTTTATTTCTAACTGCACTCTCCCTGTGACTTCCTTCATGTGCATCCTATAATAAGAAAACATTTTGTTAGTAGTAGCAATGTTCAAGAGTACCATGGTGTGTACAAAAAACCTTAACTTTTAATTTTCCTGGGAGAGCAAACAGGAACTCTGATTATCTCATCAAACTAGTAGTCACTTGATCCCTGCAGAATTCATTTCACCGTCAAAGGGAAAATCCTTACAAGGTGCCTTGAGGTGCAAAAAGAATCACAGTTTAGTGTTTCACAGTGGTGGTATATGCTGTGACTACCTTTCGCTTTCATATTTGGTGAGAATGGTCAATGAGAATGAAAAATGTTATATACGAGCTGGAATTTATAAAGAAAATGAAATCATATTTTAAAATAGTATATGAGAGAAAGGCAAATTCATATTCATATTATACAGTGAACCTGGAGCCTATTCCAAGAAGCCAGCAGACACACGCACACACACACAAATAACACAGTAAAGGCCATTTAGAAACAAGCTACATATTTCTGGACTGTGGAAGGAATCCAGAATCCCCTATTTTGCGATATGAAGAAAAATGAATGTTGGGAGAGAAAAAAAAAACTAATAGAAGTAACCAAGGACAGTTTGTATCTGTAAGATACAATCACAAAGTGCTCCTGGCAAAAGGGTCAATAGATCTTCTCTCATACAACAGTTACAGAAGAAGTAAATTTAAAAACAAATAGAAACCTTCAAAACCATATGAATTCACAATGCCACACATACAGTCAAAGGGCTTTATAATTTTCTTTGAGTGTACTTTACAAGAAACTATAAAAATACAGACGGAATACCAGCACTTTGGATTGTCTTACAATGCGGCATATTCTCTCTCTACCAAACTATCAGGAGAAAAAAAAACTAAAAATCCAAACTCCACGAAGCATGGAAAATACCTAGAGCTCCATACTATTTTTGTGAGTGGATTCTGTCACTCTGCATGAAAAACTAACACACAGCAACTTTTATACCTGACATTTCAAATTGAAATGCACAAACCAAATAATACAGCTTCTGATTACTAGCTTCACTAAACTTGCAGGTGTAGCAATTCCAGCTGTTCAAGGCATCAAGCCTACTCCTTAAAATCTGTCTGTGTGAAAGAACAGTAGGGAAACCACCGTCATCTCATCTCACCATTTAACTTTATGTCAACACTTTGAGATTTTATTCTGAGATGAAGTACATAAATTAAATGCATTATTATTTATTATCATTATCCATAACAGCAACAACAATAATAATAACAACTCCAAAAAAACAATACCAAAAATAATAATAATGTTGTTGTTGTTGTTACAGAGGTCCTGACCCTCTGGGGTCATAAAAGATTCCTGGACATCTCTTTGAAAAAAAAGGGGTGGTACCCCAATGTCCCGACTACAACTGACCACTGTGGCCCTTTCAAATCTGGCCTCCTAATCATCCCCTACCTAACTGGTAAATCCTCTCCTGCCCCATCACCTTTGCTACTGTGTGGTGAATGTACCGGTGCAGAAAGGCTGCTGTTGCATCATCCAGATGGGCGCTACACAGTGCTGGTGGTTGATGATTGGTTCCTTAAACCATTTTGGATGTCTTGAAAAGCACTGCATACACGTAATATTCATTCATTCATTCATTCATTCATTCATCCCTTCAGTTTTCTAATGGATTTATGAATGGACCCCAATGCTCAGGGTAATGTATTTGCATTGGCGAGGGAGAGCCAACATTAACTCCTGTCGACCCCCCTGTAATGCAGATTCAAAGAGGAAGAAGCATAGTAGATTCAGATAATGTCTTCAAGTAGCTTCAAGTAGAGGAATGACAAAAAAAACTGACAGGGTTACAGACAAACAAACAAAAAGAAAAACCTCTGGAATGTCTGCAATGTTAGAGGCAAAAGCAAACCCAGCTAATTTTCCAACATGGTATTTTATTTTCAAATTTTTTTTTTTTGCAAATAATTTGTGGTGGAATTAGAATCTCACCTAGAGTGGACCCGGCTTTGTGGGGTATGCTTTTCGAAACAGGCTCACCGTGATAAAATCATTATGGAGGATGCATGCAAAGGGGATTAGCGGCCAACTAAAACATGCAGAAGCAAGCAGCTTGTGAGAAGACAGAGATGGTAAAACAGTGAAAGGGGTAAGAACGTGTTTAGGCAATCCATTACTCTACCTGTCATGACTGAAAGCAGCCGTTACTATGTGTTGCAACCGATGTTAAATGCATCTGTTCAGGCAAGCTGGCAAGTGTTCCATAAAAATGCACCGTCATGCAGGTAATACATTTTAAACATCCTTAATCTGGAACCTAAAGTAATACACCTGCTATTACAAACTGTTTGTGTTTTGTTTTTGGATATCCCTGCTAAACACTGGGAAAAAATATATAATCAAACAAAGCAGCCATAGACTGAAGCTTATTAAAATCACAATCAAACTGTAATTTGTGTAGTCTGCATACAGTAAATTACCTGTGGACAGAAATCAGATTATTTTAGGATGCCTTTCCCACCTCCATCATAATGCAAAATCCGAAAACAACCTAGAGATTAACTATATTTACTAAATATAAATAAGCAAGTAGGCTTCAGTTTAAAACACACTGTACTACTATCACGTGTTTACTTCACGTGTACAGGTATCATGAGAAAAATGCAGTAACTAAGGAAAAAATAACAGAGCAGTGATTTTGAGCACCATGACGTTCTCTGATTGGGTCACTTGTAGTACCATTGAATAAATTTATCCATATTTAAAATGTGGCTAGATAAAGCAGTTTGACATACAGTATTTTAAATGAATGAACGGGAAGAAAGGACACTCAAACAAAACATTGTTCAAGCATGCACAGAGATCAATACTAACTGAAGGAGACAGAACAGCTCCGTAATGCTTGTACAGGTACACAAAAGCAGATGAGAAATTGCAGAGTATGACAAAAAGACTATAACATCAAATATCCCATCGACCCCTTTGAATACAGGAGAGCTGTTGTTGGGGACAGCATCTGAAACAGCAGAGTTTTAAACGACTGGAAGAGAAAACAGCGTGACCTGCTGTACAGCAGACACAGTACATCACATGCAGAACTGGCACCCACATTACCAAATGAATGATAAGTGTTGTTAAGGAGAGGTGCAAAATTCATTCTCAGCAACAGATAAAAGATATATTTTAAAAGCTTTACAATGAGCAGGGTTCTGAATTAAGGTCATTTGGTTAAGCTGGATAAGAATGTGTTTCTATAGCTATTTATATTGTCTGTGTATTGTTTTTGTAACTTACACGCTGGATAACAATGCTTCTTAAATGCAGAAGACCTAATCAATTCACTGTATTGCTGCTCCTACTGCTGGAATAAATGCTGACATTTTGTTGTCAGTGTTTCGGCAACCTTTAATAGTAAGTATTACACAACATATAGAGGAAGTAACGGACATCTTAAAAAATACCATCTTAAAGATCTGTGGTATTCTGTTGTAGGCTACATGCTTTTTAAAGAGTGCCAATACATTTATATAAATGTTTGTAAATACTTTTGCTTACTGGTGGACTACACCAAAACTGAAAAAATAATGATTTTTTTTTGTGCGATGACAGGAGTCTGAATAATTTACCTGAACCCATACATTGATTACTTATTTTAATCACTTTTGAAGTTACTGTAAAAGTCTAATTTATTGAACAGTCGCGAAGATTATGGGAGATAAAATGAAGCCTCAATATCAAACAATTTATTACAGTTACTAATAATTAATAATAACATCTGGATATGAAGAAAAGCATGGAGAGATGAGCAGATATGAGCGTGAGTGTTAACAAGAGATCTCAAAGTCTGCGTAGTTTAACTCACCGCCTCCGGACTTAATCATCTGCGATGCAATGGCATGGACCCTCAACGTATCTTTTACTTAGCCCTATGCATCTTTTCATCATACATGTTAAAATGAAACCTTACGTCTTACTTAAGGCTGTTTATCTGATTTAGTATAACCGCAGTCAGTTTTGCCACCGCAGGCGCAAATAATAAAATAAGTAATTAGCTTTTTATAGGGCTACCAGTAGAAAAGATGGTTTAATGGACCGTACGGAAAACTGTTGTTTAGTCGGCGAGAATAGTAGGACATGCTACTATATATATATATACACACCTATAACCTTTAAGTTACATGCATGAAAATACATCAATTACTTGCGTTAATGTAATCACAATTATTGCGATGCGTATCTTGTTAAGCGCAGAGACTATAATAGGAAGTTATGTTACTACGTAAAGTTTATGACTTTTTGTCTATAGGCAACATGACGATCTTTAATGCTTAAATGCAAGTCATTTATAGTTCCCAATACACACATATTTGACAATAGTGCAGAAGTACTTCCCAAAGACCTCACGTGCATCGGGAAACGATTCCACAACCACGAACCAAAAAATGCCTCTTATTCAAACTTGCCAACATGCTTTTCCAAAAACAAAATCAATTTTTTGTTGTACAGTGCAGTCTGCTGTAGCTATAGTCATATACGGCAAATAGTATAGATATTTTTCCTTTGTTTACACGCCGCAGAGTACTTTACAGTACGCTATGTGTGGATTAAAAACCACTGCCAAGGTGAACATAGAGCGCATGTTATCCTACAACAGCCTTTTCATAAACGCTATTACAGCTGCACTGCAGTGTGGAAACTGCTGCCACTTTATTCTTTAATACAACGCCCCATTAACGCTAAATACGATGTCCACCGTAAATATGAGAAGTCATTTCTTACCCAAAAATGTGAGAGTTTTGAACCGCAAAAAGCCTCCATTGCACGTCAAACCGGAGCTCCACCTTATCCTTGAATTACGAATAAAAGTATCTCTCCTCGGGTTTTGCACATACACAGATAAAACATATAAACCTTCATGAAATGCGCTCTTCACAGCCCCCGTTCCACTCCCTTCCCACCCCTCAGTTAGTTGCCGTCTGATGTCGCACTTTCAGCAGTTGCTGCCTATTGCCGGGTCGCCAGTCAGTCCCGCCTTCAGCGGAAGTAAATTGCCGGTTCGCAACTTCAATCGGGTTATGTGCATAAATAAGACTTCGCATAATATAGCAAAATATATGTTTCGCCTTCGCACTAATTTTATTCCTACTGTCATTTCTTGTCTTGCGATATGTTTTGGTTCCATATTTGTTTAAAAATAAAATTGCATTAGGCATTTTAGTGCACGGGAAATTAAAATGTCCATAATGGTAAGTTTTGTCTTCTAGGTTATAAGGTGAGCTGGATATATTTATGTCAAGTCACCTAACAGTTGGAATGAAATCCAGCATTGTTTGTGTTGTGTTGTGTCGTGTCACCGAGCCTTAATAAATTGATTAGAAGTAGTTAACAGGAACAGTTATTTTTGGGGAGATTAAATATCACAAGATGAGTTGCGGTCTGCTTTATTGTTAGAAACGGGTCTGCTGTGTGTTGCACGTAGTCTTAAACCTAGATAGTGTGACGATGGACAAATTTCTATTTTCTCAACATGATGAAGTAATAAACCAATATTTAATTAACTCACTGGAAATGGTCGTCTCTCCAATTCTTCAGGTGTTTGGTGATGTTTTAGTACAAAATGGCTTCCCAGTCTGATAAAATGACTAAAACTGCAATAAAATGCAAATTATCATTATTCTGAGAACCAAGAAAAAAATAATATTGTTACGGTACTTGATTTTGTTTAATAATACTTGAATGAATGAATGAATGAATGAATGAATGAATGAATGAATACACAGTTGAAAGCTAGAAACTTTTCCCCCCTATATGTAGGTGTGGATTTGATAAAGAATACAGGGTGATACTGACTAGAAGGCTGTAGTGAAAAAATCCAGAACGAACCTCGGTGGGGAATTTATGGGTATTCAGTGTAAGAAATCAACACTTTAACCGTTGATTAAATTGTGAATATACAGAGACATATCTGATGCAAATCATCTTTCCTACATAAAATGTTATGTGTGAATGTGGCTTAGCTACATATAATTTGGGGCTCTACGATTACATAAATGGGGCCTTTTTAAGGTGCCCCCTGTTGGTGGGAATAACAATTTAATTCTTAACCATTTAATATTTTGTGGAATCTTTTGTACTTTTCCCCACGACTCGTGAGACATTTTGTTCGGGGGCCCAGAATTCTTGACTACACCGTTGCACTGGCCAGGAGAAGCTATAAGGTTGGAAGATGGACGGTTATATTTTGTCAATTTTGTACTTTTCTTTTAAAAATCCATGTACCATATAATTTAGTTTATTGTTTTGAGTTGTGAATGCACTAGTAGGATGTATTGCTACACCCACCACATGACGAAATACCTCGGGATCCTGGTTGACGACCCCCTACACCAACACGCGGTCCAGTCCCACCCTCCACAAATGGCTGTCTATCTGCCAATGCTAGATGTTATGTGGGCATCTCCTTTGCCTGGCCCAGCTGCTCAGGTCCTCATCAATGAAGATTCTGCGAGCCAGATCACCCTCACGGAAACACACCGCCTGGCCATAGTGCCATAACAGATGCTTCCTCACGATGCAGGTAATGAGATTCAAGCAGGACGCCTTAAGTAACCGCTCGTTCGACACAAAGTCAAACCAGTGGTACCCAAGGATTCTCCAAAGAGACACAATATCAAAGGAGTCCAGTCTTCGTCTCAGGTCACTGGAGACCATCCATGTCTTGCAGCCATCCAGCATAACAGGTAGCAACAGGACTCTAAAGACTTGGACCTTTGCCCTCTTACAAAGATATCGGGAGCGCCGAGGAAAATTAACGTCTCAATGCGGTCGACATTCTCTCCACAGACAGAGGCTGCTCATGGCTGTGTCCAGGATGTCATTAAAGGCCTGAACCTATGTTCTTATCCTGGACACTCACAAATCCGGCCAATCAGACTCCTTCCTCAGTCTTTCAAGAGCCCCGATCAGAGCCTCCATTGACTACGCAAAGATCAAAGCATTATCAAAGTCACTCATGACCAGAGGAGTGTTACCTCATGGGCACACATCAACTACTGAGCCGTCCAGAATAATACTTTTTCGGAAGTTTCAAATAAAACGTCTCCCTCACCAAGACCACTCCCTATAGCCAGAGCATACACCGAGACAACGGACAAGGCCTCCAAAGATCGCCTTAGCCGGAGTCTCATAAAACGCTTGTTGAAAGGAGTCACATCAGACACTATCGGGAGAGATAAGATATTCTACGTGCCTACCCAGAATGGCGGGCCCAAACTAGGACCTGAGTGCTGCTGTGCAGTGGGCAATACCTCAACACCACACCAGTTCTTATCCCTAACAGGCCTGATCTCGTTGTTCTCTGGCAGTTTTGATCTTCCGGGGATGAGGCTTCTGAGGGCTTTCCCCCATCCCCTTCATGATGCGTGGAGCCTTCCTGTGGGTGGCTGCAACAGATCTACTCCCACAGAGAGTAGAAAAGAGTCCTGTCAGCCATTTGGCAGCTGCCTGACATGTTTTTGCGGCCAAAAGCAGCAGTATGAAGGATCTAGTAAATATACATCATTAGGGATACCAGTCATAAATAGGGCTGGGAAATTTATTGGGTTAATGCGTAGCATTATGTCTTTTATGGTGTTAGCGCTTTCAGTACAGATGTTTCTCCACTTACGAACGAGATACTTTCCAAACGGCCTTTCGCAACTTGAAATGTTTGTAAGTCGTTATTCAACATCATTTTAAGGGTATATGCAAGTACTAATTAAGAACTAGGATGCTTGGAGTATGCATGCTACACTACTGCGCAACGGGGAGTAGCAGCCAGGAGTCGTACTAGGCGGTATTGGTGCACAGAAAAAAGAATGATGTTGCGGACAGGAAACGGTAGCCCAATGAACACAATTTGGACTTACAGTCCTCTTCGTTCGTACGGTATAAGATTTTTAATAGAGATCAATAATATTTCTTCCTGGTTGTAAATAACGCATACACTAGAGTTCCCCAACGGAACTACCTGACCAAGACACTTGCTTAATTGGTAACCATTTTATGCTTAAACACATTATGGGTCAATCTCACAAACTCATTACCATGACAAATCAAGTTTGGTTTGACGACAGATGCATTACATTATCATAAAAAATGTTGATTTTTGCCTCTATTGTGGTTAGCGTTTTTTGTGGTCTTGGTCTCCTCTCGGAATCAACTTTATTTTGACTCTGTCTTGTCTCGGTCATGGACATAGAGGACTTGAGGTTTTATTTCAAGGCCAGTCAAGACCACTCATCAAAACGTCTCAATATTTATCACAACGGCTTAATAGTCATCTGTTTGTTTTTCAATCGAGAGAATTTACTTGATCCAGTCGTTCAAGTTGCAACGCTGTGTGCTAAAATATTCCAGAGTAATCCTGTGCACACTGCGTTTCTAAACACTCAAAAATGGATAGGATTCAAAACGTTAACACAGTATTGTGATTGTGTGTAAAACGTCCAGCTTCAAAGTTCAAATGCAACAAAAAAAGGTGTGTCAAATTATACTGTCTAGCCCCAAGATGGTGCTTATGCTCCACATGTTATAGTGTGTTGTTATGTAGACTCAAATATTAGTCTGTTTCTGATCTTGACTTGGTCTAGCCCTGTCTTGGTCTCGGTCTGGTCTCGGTCTCACCTTTCTTGGTCTTGGTCTTGTCTTCGTCTGGATACACTATAGTCTTGTTCATGACTTGGTCTCAGTTTAAGTGGTCTTAACTACATCACTAGTTGTAGTTAATCGATTGCAGAGTAAAATAATTGCAAATAAAAAGCAGTTGAAGTATATTTTATTATACCAATTGATTGTCTATTCTGTAGCTGATATATTCAAAAACATTTTATTTAGTTTTGTGTTATTCGATCAAAACTTCGAACGACCAAATATAAGTGTAGTAAACTACCACCATGCTTTCATTTTCGAAATAAAAGTATTTCAAGGGATTTCAGTTCTCAGTTTTCAAGGATTTCCCTGCTACTCTGGAGTTTCTAATTGTGAAAGACTGGAGACAGGTGTTGGAATGCTCACAAGTCCCAGACCGTGGGCTGTGCACCTGGAGTTTTCCCTAGTGGACAAGAGGTTTGCCTTGATGTAACTGAGAATGGCAGAGATGAAAAATCTGTTTGTGGGTTACCCAGCCTTCCAAGAAAAAGTGGGTGAAGCACTTGAAAGAGTACCACCAACGGACTCTGTGGTCCCTCTGAGAGACTTCTCACATGATGGAAATAATAGGAGGACTTTAACTGAAAAGTGGCCTCCCGGATCTTATGACCAGTGGTGAATTGTTATTGGACTTCCGTGCATGCTATGGATTGTCCATAACAAGACAACAAAGTATATGTCTTGTATGTCAAGATCTTAGAATATTGAAGACGATGAAACTCACACAAAACTAAAGATTGTTGTCGACAAACTGTGTTTTATCATATTATTCTATCTGCTTATGGTAATGTCTGTATGGGCCCAATGTTAAAGTGATTGTTTTGCATGTTATTTGTCAAATATTAAAAAGACGTGCAGAAATAAATTAGCAAAAATTCGCTAGTTGAAACAAGGTTTGCGTCGCCAGGGGCGCTTTACAATATTATCCACTAGATGGCGCACTAAACACGAGAAATGGGTGAAAAGACGTAACAATAAGTGGTAATGTAAATTATCTTCAAGTAATCAAGAAAATGTTACTTTTTAATTGTTGTCGGACAGTGTTTATGGAGGATGGCCAAGAAAAAAGTCTTTGGTTGATACATGCTAATAATAAATGTTAGGTGCCATGTGACTGGAGTGTTAAAAATAAAAATAGCCACAATGACTTAAGAGTCTGCTGATCATCAAATCTTTCAGGTGGTAATATTTTTGAGGAAGGGAACTTGTGACCGGGAATTAGCACACTTGAGTAACGAAGTCTGAACCGTTGCATATAAGGAGTCTTACGTTAGGCCTCAGTTTCACTGTGA